GAGTCCCACAGTGACTTGGTGCAGAGCTTGGCTTCACCTGCTCTTTGCTGGTTGGGTCTTTTCTAGTGTCAGAGGGAAGAGAGAGACCAGCTGGGAAACCAGTAACAGAGCTATAGCCCAGATTGCTCTCACATAATGCAGAAGTGTCTATCTTGCTGCACTCACAGAAGTACATACATATATTATCAACTTCTTTCTCATTTTTAGTTTTAGATGGTGAACTTCACAGCTTCTCTTTGCTCAGTTGGTATTTCTGGGTCAGTCAGATACTAAGTAATGAACGCTATTAAGAATTTGTTTAAATCTCATAGGCCTGGTTTCTATAGCTTGTACAGGAAATCCGCCTTTCCAAATGCACATTTCAAACTCCTGATTGCTTCGTCTGTTCCTGTTACACATGCGCAGCAGGGAAGAGCACACACTGAACATACATACTTGCAAGGGAAAATCTACATATGGTTGGCTTAACTACATTGTTCCCATTCATTTTAACATACTCTGAATTATCAGTGACACTTGTGAGTGTACGATCCCCTAATAAAATCAGTGACTTATTACACCTTTATTTCAATATTAACCAGAAGTAAAAGTTCAACAAAATCAAAATTAAATTCAAAATCCCAAAGGAGTCAGAAAACAGTTCCTCTTCATGAGGATGGAATTTTTACAGTATTCAGAAGTATTCAGAAATGCCTTAAATAACACAGGTTTTTACTGTGGAGTACGTTTCTGAAAACTGTCTCCTTTCCTTTGAATAGAAAGCTGAGAGTGGTGCCTTGGAAGTGCAGATATGCTCTTCCATTGAAGTTGGCTAACATCACGCTGCTGGTACAAAGCAGGCTTGTAAAGCACCTTCCTTGTCCTGTCTTTTCATGGCTTGCCTAATTGAAGCAAGCAGCATCTGTTCTACAAAACAGCAGTAAAGAAATAATTCTTTAGAATCGGTATTTCAAGTAGTAGTTTCCTTACTAACACCTTAAACATGTGGATGGATCGGATTCAAGTTCTCAGGTGAATTGTCTGTGTCATTTGCAAAGTATTTTGTGGACTATGCAAGTAAAGTAAGGTGGCACAGCTGAGTTTTGTCACAGACAGACCTCCTTTCCAATTTCATATATAACATATATGTGAGTTTAAAAATGCTTCATCTACTTGATGGGATGTTGAGAGAATTGCTGTTAATATTTCACTGTTATTATTTTCTTTACTCTCGGCTATAGCCTTTAAGCTTGGAAGAAATGGAAGGATAATACCAACAGTTATATTAGCTTCAAGTATAAGAACTTGCACTTTTAGTAACGTCCAATTCTTGCAAAAAAAAATTCAAGTTTGCCATTGTATATTTCAGTTAGAAGAGTTTCATCTTTTACAAGAATGTTTGTGCAAATTAAATGTGGTTTTCTTCTAAAAGGTGTACCTGCTGCTTCTTTGGTAACCCCTGCTGATGTCATCAAGACAAGACTGCAAGTGGCGGCTCGCGCCGGTCAGACAACATACAGTGGAGTTATTGACTGTTTCGGAAAGATTCTAAGGGAAGAAGGCCCTTCGGCTTTTTGGAAGGGAGCCGCAGGTGAGACATGCATGTTGAATATCATGACTGACCCCACTTGTCCAAATTAGTACCTGCTGCTGTTCTAGAGCAGTATTTAGAAGGCCTGATTCCAAACAATGTAACTTTAAGGTTCTGTTACAAAATGCTCAGCTTCTCGCCTGAGAAACTCCCTTTTGTTTAACACTGTAACTTGCAATACTCAACAGCTCGTGTGTTCAGATCTTCGCCCCAGTTCGGCGTTACTTTGGTCACTTACGAACTTCTGCAGAGGTGGTTTTATGTCGATTTTGGAGGCCTGTAAGTCAAACATTTGCTTTTTAACTTGCAATAAGTATCTGCAAAGTTCAAAAATCTTACTTTTTCAAGCATGGTACCACTTAAAGTTGGTGGTTTTGTGCAGCAGTTGTAGTATGAGCCAAGTAAGTCCCTCAGCCTTTCGTAATTAACAGAGTGGAGCTTAATTACATGCTACTTCTAAACAAGTGAAGAGATTAAAAAATATATGTATTTTAATACATTCCGTAAAATTTGTCTTTCTAGTGTAGCAAGATATTTTGTCCTTCTTACCTGCAGCATAGGAAGTTAAAAGTTGTTCTCACTTGCCCATTAAGCAGCGCTGTGAACCACCCCCACCTTTTTTAAATAGTGGAAAAGCTTTTTCATTTTCTTCCTTCAAACAGCAAACCTTCTGGATCAGAACCTACACCGAAAACTCGAATTTCGGATCTTCCTCCCGCTAACCCTGAACACATAGGTGGATACAGACTTGCTACAGCTACATTTGCCGGTATAGAAAATAAATTTGGTTTGTATCTTCCCAAGTTTCGATCTTCTGCCACTGTCTTAGCTCAAACAAAAAGTAGCAGCTGAATCCCAAAGAGACATTTCAGCCTCTGGAAGTGATGCAGTGCTAGAAATTCACAAGAATGTACTGTTTTTTTTCCAGTCAGCTGCATGTTTTTCTTGCTGAACTGAGAATGCAAATCAAATTACTCCTTTCTAATATTGATATACACACATTTACCTTTTTCTGAACGAGTTGCACATAAACTGACTAAAGCTTTGGGTCTATGCCTTGTTTTTAACAAGTGGCACGAATGTATAAGCCTAAGCTTTGCCTTGCACAGCTTGCATTTAATGTTACTGTACATATTGTACATCTTTGTACAGAGACATCATGGCATCTCTACACATTTATATAATGGATATTGCAGTTTGAAATGTACAGAATGTTTGGAAGGCTTTTTGTTAAGACTCATGTGACAATAAAGTATTTAAAACCACTTAAGTCAGTTCATTCCTTCGTGGCTATAGAGAAGTTGTCCAATATGATTTTTCTTCTCTGCAGATTTCAGACTAAAGGTTAAGGATTAGATGCAGCCTTTTAATGAACGTACGGTGCAGTATGTAGCCTCTGCACTACTTTCTACTACTGTGTGTGAAATAAATAAATGCATAACTGTCCCTATTAACAAAATTCCTTCATCTTCCACTCAGGAAGCCTCTATAACTGTAGCAAAATATGACTGGAGTCCATCTACCCGAGTGTCCAAATGCACAAAGATTCACAGCAGGAGGACAAAGAATTCCAGAATGGAGAACTTTCTGTAACAGAAACTGAAGGCATTCACTATATTTCTAGGTAGTTTTTACACTGACAGACTAAGTGACAATGTTATTTGTATTTTGTTATGTAAAGGAAAAAAAAAAACAACCAAGAAAGCTCTTCTCATAAACAGAACAGACGTGCTAGACTGAGAATAAATTCCCGTTGGGCAGAACGCAAAGTAAAAGGAAAGGAGAAGTTTGAACTCTTCTGGTTTACTTTTAAACTTAGGATACAGAGAAAACAGTCCTAAGAGAAAAGAAGTTAAACCACCCACAGAGGCAGGAAGAAGGTAGGTGGATTTCCAGCTTTTCTTGTTTAAGTATCACCATCTCCAGTCTTTAGTTTTACAGTTTTATAGTTTCTTTCAGGGTTAAACATCCAAGGAAACAGTGAGCCCCACTGGTACCAACTATTGCTCAGCCAATAGCCTCTATGAAGAATTTTAGTTGGCTTGCGAAGAAGCAGCTTATTAAAAACTGAACCTCAGTTCTAGCTTGTAACCAAGATAAAGCATCTTTTCAATGATGAATAACATTTAGTGAGCTAGACATTACAATACCCTGAATCAGATGTTTGATCTCTTTGCTGTAACATGTATATAACTCTATTAAGTGGTTTTTAGTTTTTTTTTTTACTGTTTAAAAAATTACCTACTCTTGCAGTTCTGTAGATACAGGCCTCCTGGGAACACTCTTTCCTTTATCTGTATATTTTGTTCTTTTTTCTTCTGAAGAGATACAGACATGTGAAGCACCCACTGGCATTTAATCTCAGTCACAGCTTGACTGGCTGGATCAGCCCTGGAAGGCTTTCTAATGTGAGAACTGCCATAGCTCCAAAACCGGACAGTGCTGCTCCCAGGACGATCATTTACAGTAACTGGCACCACTGCTGGTCTCTTAACTTTGCAAAGAGGGTTTTAAAACTTGCTTTGATCTGCACGTAACCATTTTCTGAATGAGGAACACAAGCAGGAATACAGAACAATACTGCTAAGTTACAAAAAAGTTAAAATCATTTAAAACTAAATCCGTATGATCTATATGTATGTTTCAAGTCTGAAGGAAACATTATTAAAGGAGAAGTGATGGTGTTGAGGGAAGGAGGAGAACCTTCTGTTTGTAAGTATTATTGTGCCTAAGGGGTAAAAATCACCACATGATGTTCTTCATATATTTCTCAACCAAACAGCTGCTGTTGTAATACTGAAGAAAAAAAAAAAAAAAAGGCAAATTTCAAACTGAAGAGCATGACTGTACTGGAAATAGAGGGTAGACTTCTGACAAGCCAACACTGGGGGAAGCCTACAGCCATTTCCCTTTCAAACCCACAGAAGAAGGGAACCTCTTTAAGACAGAACTGCTGCTACAGCTGTCAGTATCTCTATGAACTGCTTGTACTGGAACTGAAACAAAGATACACTCTAAAACCTAAGAAAAACTGTGCAAACAAGAATAAGTTTGAGTAAGCTGGAAAATAAACCTGTATCCCACTTGTGAGCTAAAAAAAAAAAAAACTTCTGAAAAATCATAGTTTGTAGCAGATTAAGAATGAGAGAAACTAAACTTGAGTTGTTCTAACTTGGATTTAGAGTCCTAAGCTGTCACAGGCATCAGTACTTGTTTAGTGCTTAGCTGGTACAAGTCAGAATACTTGCTTTAAATTATTAAAAAAATCCCCAAACATTTGTGAACCTGAAGCTAATAAAAATAAAAGGGGGAGAAGATGGTTGATGGGAAAGCTTATAATATCCTAGGAGAGGTTTATTAAGAAATACAGCCTTTAACAGAAATCGTAACATTCCATTTCCAAGCTGTTGAGAGGTTTTTGATTCAAAAGAGATGCTAAAAAGCAGCAAGAAAATTTTTCTTTATCTTCACATGGAAAAAAAAAAATCAGTAGCAAGATTGCAGCTATGGAAATCAATTCAAAATATAGCTCATCATGCTTCAGAAACGAAAAAACTAACAAGAGTGGCCTTCCTTGTTTTAGCCAACTACCACGATGGGAAGTAAAGGCTGGGAGTGCAATACTGACATGTGCAGTATAAGTGAAGGCAGGCAGCAGAAACACTCTACTCTGAAACTACTGAAGGGAGACAGACTGGGGGTCAGGGCAGCTCATATAATATTTATTTATGAATCAGTCTCACCCTTTAATGCACCAATTCAAAACAAAAGAACTTCTTATTGTTATTAAATATGTATTTCATCAATTCTGGTCCAATTATGAAATGAACTGTAACTACAGACATTTTATTCACTCATATTACTCGCTACCAGAGCCTGAAGCTTATCTCTATATAAGCAATGAAACTTACTTGGAACATACACATGCATATCCACTTGCAGTTTGAATTAAAGAACCCTTCAGAAACTTACTACCTCATGAAGGCTAATGTGTAATATAGGAAGTTTAGTTTAGAAACAGAACTTGTTTAGAAACACAATTTCTACTTTTCAGAAACATACTGTTTATAAAGTGGAGATTTCAGAAGCTTAACAGCAAATTTACACCACGTTAGTGTTTCAGCAAAAGTTCCTTGCAAAGTCAAAGTTAACTGTATTAAAAGTTACATAAGTCAAATAACGTGCTTGTAAGTTTTATATAAAAGTCAACAATGCAAGATCTGATTTTCAGAGATCATAACACGTTTTCCAAGTCCATGGTTGAATCCACATACTCCCTTAAGCTATTACTGACACTTGCTCATACTTCTAAGATTCGCATCAAATCACTCACAAGCCTACCACTGCTGCCCATTTGCAGAGATCTATGCTGGGATGCGGGTTGCAGCTTCCTCTTCCGCATCAGCTCTGTTGGCATTTATTTCTGCCAGTGTTCGGCCAAACCGAGTCCACTCATCGCTGCGAGGAACTGCAATTTGCTGTGGACAAAGATAACATTATTTAAGCTCACCAATGTCTACAACAGAGCTCGTTTTGAACAGCAGAACTCATAAATAACATTCAGAAGAGCTTCCAACAGAACAGCTTGCCTTTCTTAGTGCAACTTATAAAGTAATCAAAACATCAACAGCTCTAACCAACGAAAGCAGCAGAATTTGAGAGTGATGTATTTAAGTATGCACTGATATCGTGACAAGCTTGCATGAGACTGTCTCTAAGGAAGAAGATTAATGCCACGTCTGCAGCCAGTCGGCACATCATGTTCTACTGCAATACGCATGCTTACAATAGCAACCACTTCCTTAAGGATGAAGTCAAGACTGCTTCATTTCAAAAATTTTGTTCAATACTCCTCAAGCAATTGTTTGAATTTACATGAACCAGTTATAAAGAACACGAAATCCCTACAAACAAACCTGTTAATGGTTTCATCTTATTCCACCAGCCTGAAAATCAGATATTTAGTTTCTGACTGGTGTAGCTGCCAGAATGTATGCTGAGAAGTTATAATAGAATATGTGAAATAGGCACATAAAGGAAATGTTACTTCCCCCCCCGTCCTCTAATCACAGAGAGGGAAAGTTAAAAGCAAGTTGCAAAATGCAAGTCAAATAAAGTTGATTGTTCTGTAATGCACTTTGCACAACACGTGGTATACGTACCTCTCCCACATCATATATAACTATTTGGCCCTCTGAGTCACCGACAGCAATCTCTCTCCCAGTATGTGTCCATCTCACACGGTTCAGAGCAGGATTGCCTTCTACAGTAATGCTTGCAGTTGGCACCTGTATTCATTTGAAACATACTATTAAAATGCACAAGGATTTCCTTAATCAAAGACTAGAAAATACTTCATCCATCAGCACTGTATTAAGCAAAATGCTGGACCTGTCGATTTACTCAGTCTGTGGGTCTCAGATGACTCTCAGTGGCCATATGCTATCACTAATGACGTGACCAAAACAACACAATTCCTGCCCTCTGACTTTATCAAAACGCACACCTGCACTCCTGCCATGACACAGGAGCCATTCACCTTGTAGCTCTGTGAGAGAGCAAGGAAGAGCCCTGCGATTTCAGGGAATACTATGGACACAGGGCAGGGATGAAAGCAGCTGTCTTGGCAGTCCAAATCCAGACCAGAGGCTAGAACTGAGTAACTGACTTAAAAACCATGCACTGCCCTATGCTTTTAGAGAAGCCCTTTCTTCTGTATGTACTTTTGTGAAGGTGAAATTTCTAATTGCAGAGTATGTCAGAATTATCCCTTGTCTATCTCTAACAAGTTTAGTCTTGGAAAGGATTTATACTACAGGTAAGTACATAGTTTACACCAGAAGACCCAGACACTCCATCCTCTAAGTTTAGAAGCAACTGACAATTTCACTGAAGTTATTACTATGGCAACAGCAACATGGCACTAAGAACAACAGTGGTGTCCTGGAGGCAGGTTTCTTCAGGCTGTTAAGCTGTAGGCTGCCAAGGCCACACTGGGGAAGGCCTAAAAGTCACTTTCACAACGTGGGCTGGTATTAAAGCAGGTATTTTACATTCTTGTTATGGTTACAACAATTTAATTACTGCTGCCACTTGTAACGGCCAGTCTTTGGAATTATGACACTGCAATCAAATTAAAATATTCATTAGGCAGAAACTACTGGAGCTTAAGAATATTTAAGGACAACAAAAATACGTTGAACTCTTGTTACTTTTCCAAGTGCACAAACAATCTTCCACCTATATCTGACTGCTAACTTGATTGCCTCACCTCAGTGTCATGGTTGAGATTCCACAGGTCAAGCCGGCTCGTCCCATCCACGCAGGCAAACAGGGCAGGGTGTGTTGGAGACCACATCACATCATAAACATAATCTAAGTGGTCTTCAAATGAGTAGAGAGGTTTGTTATTCTGGGGAAAAAAAAAAAAGACATAATGCAATATCCCAAGTCTGCAATTCATATTCTGTCAAGTAAGGCAAAACACAAAACTTATCAATAACGTAAAAAACCCAAACAGCCCCTGCAAAAAGCAGCCAGAAACTAAGTGTATTATCAAAGACATACATTCCAATGCACAAAGTCTTATCCTGGAAGTTACTATAAAGAAATCAGTAGTAAGCCAATACTGTAAGAGATTCTAAACTTAACACATTAAAAATTTTGTACATCACGAAAAAGCTAATTCCATGACAGCATTGTGTTCCTCAGGAAATCAGCACAACAGAAGAGGTAATTCCAGCAAAATGAATACCATGTGTGTCAATTGCAAGTCTCTAAATGCAGTTTGAGATTAGTTTTGGTGCTGTCTCCCAGTCCTCCACAAAATTGTAGCAAAACATTTGTCTTATGCATTAAATGAAGTAACTGAATTTAACAATGATTTGTATTTGATTACACTGTAATCACTATTGATAACAAAGGGCAAAAGGATGAACAGAATGGATCAGAAGTACACAAAGGATGTACAATCTGAAAGCAAAGACATCTTTATGTTGTTAACTAGTTTTGTTCATCAGTTGCCTTCTCTTTGCAGTAAACCAAAAAACAAACACTAGGAATCACGTGGACTACTGGTAGGGATCTGGAGAGCTTCACACTCTTTGTCTTCAGTTTACCTAAGTTTCCTGAGTTGAGCAGCTTACATTATAGCACCACCTTGTGTCAAGGACTATGAAGAAAACCACTGAACTGTCCATTATAGTTACCTTCGTTGTCCAAAGCTTTACTGTCCAGTCAAAAGAAGAGGTGACAAAAAGATGTGAGAAGTCTACAGGTCCAACTGCTGCATGGCAGTGGATACCTGTGATTGGTCCCTGGTGTCCTTCAAACATCTCACTGATTCCAGCTTTGCTGTTTTAGAATATATAACCAAAGTTAATTTCTCTGGAAACCATACATCTGCAGACAGAGATAGCACTGAAACGCATTTTAAATATAACCTCAAGAAGATTTTGCTGCTTTGAATGGATGTCTGCCCAACTGCAAAGGCTTAATCTCAACAGGCTCACTGAAGACCAGGCTTGAATACTGACTTCAATTTCAACATTTTTCTTGC